TATTAAATGTTAATTTTGATATTTTCTAAAAATTAGTTTTAAGTGAAAACATTTGTCTAGTGTTTAAATGTTTATTGTATATCTGAAAAGGAAAACCAAAAATGTTTTGGAGAAATGCATTAGTTTCTTAAGCTCATATATTTTAATTGAATCAATTATTTTAAGCTTTTTTTTTTTCATTTTTATTTCTATATGTCTGTTTGACAACCTTAACAATTAAAATAGTTTTTAGAATAAAATCTTTTCATTAGGTTTATTTTAATAATGCCATTAGCGAATTAGGCTTCACTGTCCTTCACTTAGAAAAAACGTTGTGAAAACCAAGCCATCTGCTGAAGCACTACTGTTACATTTGGCCTTCAGAATGTTTTTATCATGATCTTTTTAGCACTGTGCATTTTAAGCCCTCAAAACAAGTTCACCTTGATCTTTTGCATTGAGTCCAAAGTATCTCAGAGACAAAATATGACAAAAATCTGTACCTATGACGTTTCTATCCAAAGAAGGCAGAAATAAAACAGGACTTTGGGTTTGATTACAATAAAACATCTGAAGTACTATAAATGCATGTCCTAACGCTTCATCAATCGGGAAATATGGCAAGCAGTGTCTCTCCTGAACAGAATCAAAATCACTGCTCAGTCATCAACAACAGCATCCCGCTGATACAGGGCAGTCTTCCCACCCTGACCTTGTCTGGAAAGATTCGAGTGACAGCTACTTTCTTCCTTTTTCTACTTTCCACAACTTTTAATGCTTCTTTCTTGTTGAAACTTCAGAAGTGGACTCAAAAGAAAGAGAAAGGGAAAAAGCTCTCAAGAATGAAGGTGCTTTTAAAACATCTGACCTTAGGCAATCTGTTGGAGACTCTGATTGTCATGCCATTGGATGGAATGTGGAACATTACTGTTCAGTGGTATGCTGGGGAGTTCCTCTGCAAAGTTCTCAGCTACCTGAAGCTCTTCTCTATGTATTCTCCAGCCTTTATGATGGTAGTGATCAGCTTGGATCGCTCTCTGGCCATCACAAAACCCATAGCTATGAAACGCTACAGTAAGCTTAGACAGTCCATGATCAGCCTTGCATGGATCCTCAGTTGTGTCTTCGCTGGACCACAGGTAAACATTATTTATAAATTGGCTAGGATGTGAAAAGTACAGATTTCCTACCTAAACTTGAGTAAAGTTCTTGCTAGAAGTAGTATTATATTATCTTTAACATCTTAGGATCTGGATGTCAGAGAGAGTTGATACTGGCTCTGCTGTGTTATCTTGGGAACATTAGTTAATTCCCTGGGGTTCAAATCTTTTAATTATAAAACGAGGGAATATCTACTTCATAGGGCTTTTGTTATGGTTTAATAATTTGTTATATGTATCTACCATAATTTCTGATAAATAGTAAATGCTTCCCAAAAAACATAACTCTTCTAAAAATGTATCGTTATCTCTTTCTTTTCTTCCATTTATTTTTCCTTTTGTTCTGGTTGACATGAACTTAATGGCTAAATAAAAGAATTTTTAAGAACTATGGGGTCTGCATAGGTAGCAATTAGTTATATCTTGTCTAATTTGAGATTTGTTAATGGGACACTTTTAGAATTCTGTCATTACAGTTTAAACAAGCAATCAGTTGCCATTGATGGATTTCAACTCAAGGCAACTCTTTGTGTGTCAGTAGAACTGCATTACATAGGTTCTCATTGGTTGAGTTTTCAGAAGGCGATCTCCAAGCCTTCTTTCTTCTGAGACACCTCTGGGTAAGCTCAAACCTCCAACCTTCCAGTTAGTAGCCCAGTACATTAAGCATTTAACAATCAGAGATTCTCACTGCAGTTTAGGGAAAATCATTCCTGATTGATACATTGTTTTGCACTACAACTGGGTGGGACTGAATAAGGAGGAAAGTAGAAAATCTTGCATTTTGGGAAATTTGATTACTTCCCTGAGGTTGGCTGGAGGTTTTCTGGAGATAGGCTGGATTGTAGCAACTTGTTAGTAAAACTATATGGTTGTTAGTGTACACACTGGCCCTTTCAAATGACACTTCTCCAGATTGACTTCATCAAACTAATTTACCTTCAGAAACTTTTCAACTTTCAATTCTCTGAAGAAAAGGACAAATTCTTGCAAGTAGTAAAAAAAATATTTAATAACAGATGAATAAGTTATCTCTGTGAAGTCTTGGTGTGGAGCTGTGTGGTAAAGCACTGGACCACAAGGTTAGTTTGAACCACAAGGCCAGCAGTTCAAACTCACCAGCCACTCCTTGAAAACCCTATTCAGGAATGCTATGAGTTGGAAGCAACTCAAGGCACTTAACAACAACAACAATAATGCTTGTAAATGTCAGCAATTAAAGATGGAGTTAACTAAGATACTGCAAAAACTGACCTCTACAGAAAGGAATTCCATCACTCGTCTGTCAGTTTGTTGTACTGTGGTAGCTTGAGTGTTGCTGTGATGTTAGAAGCAATGCCACTGGTATTTTAAATAACAGCAGGGTCGCCCATGGTGAACAGATTCAGTGTAACTTCCAAAATAAGACAGAGTAGGAAGAAGAAGAGGCAGACTACTTCTGAATACTTAGCCACTGAAAACCTTATGAATAACAGAACATTGTCAGCTATAGTGCCAGAAAATAAAAACAATATGAAAACCACCAGAATATTTAATGGACTTAAATGTAGCAAGAATTGTGAGGTTGGCGAAAGACCACACAATGCTTTCTTCTGTTGTGCATAGGATAACTATGAGTCAGGGCTGACCTGACAGCACCTAACAACACAAAAAAGGAATTAATATGTACATTCTGAGCTTCACAAGTGGCTAGAAAAAAAATTTTATTTTAATCATCTCCCATGCTGTGCAAGACATTAGAGAGCTGAAACTGAAATTTCTTAGAAGGGGAAATATAGATTTAACTATTTTACATTTTAAGTTCTTAGAGAAACAGCTATAACCCACCTCATATCTAAATGGTACAATATAAGGACTATAAAGAAAAGACACACAAAACTGGAATGTTTTATTTTCTCTAGAGAAAAATATTTTTTAATTAGCTGTAACACATGAGGTTGAAAACAACCTTTCTCCTTTGAACACATAGAATACTATTTATTTGTCATAAAATTTCTAACTATATTTATGTTTTCCTGATTGGCTTTGGCAGTATGGCTTATAGTCACAGCTTATAGTATCTACAGTACCTAAGGAGTCTTGGTGTGGCACTGTGGCACCAGACTGCAAAGCCGTTTGAACTGCAAGATCAGCAGTTCAAGCTCATCAGCTGCTCCTTGGAAACCCTATACAGGGTCGCTATGGGTCGAAATTGACTTGACAACACTTCACAACAATAACAAACAGTATCTAAAGATTCTTGGTATGGTATTGTAGGATAAGCACTAGACTGCTAACCACTAGGTTGGTAGTTCAAACCCATCAGCCACTCTTTGGAAACTGTATGCAGGGTCTGTATGAGTCGGAACCAATTCAACACCACTTAACAGTACAGTACCTAATAAACACTGGGCTGCTAACTACAATGTTATTAGTAAATCAAAGCTACCAGATGCTCCTCGGAAACCCTATACAGGGTTGCTATCAGTCAGAACTGACTCGAAGGCTCTTGAAAACAGCAACATCAGTACCTACTAGGGAGTGTGGTGCCTCTGTAGGATAAACACTAGCCTGTGAACCACAAGGTTGAGGTTAGAGTTTTCATCCAGTCCACAGGAGAAAGATGAGGCTTTTCTGCTCCCACAAAGATTTAAAGCCTCATAAACTATATTAGTGGTCACGATGAGTTGGAATCAGCTCAACAGCCTTAACAATAACAACAGCAACACAGTATCTAATAAGAAACCAAGAAAAAAATTAAATATTGTTTGGATAAATAAATGAATAAGAGGTACCATAGATTTCTACATTTGTGTGTCATTTTGTCATATTGTGGTGGTTTACATGGTGCTGTGATTCAGGAAGCTATGCCACCATTGTTTAAATACCAGCAGGGTCAACCATGGTGGACAGGTTTCAGCTGAGCTTCCAGACTAAGACAGATTAGAAAGAAGGAGAGATGGATTATTCCAAATATTTAGTCACTAAACACCTGATGAATAGCCATGGAGCACAGTCAGATAGCACAAGAATAGTCAATATTGAAATATGCTAAAGAGCACCAGAATATTGTCAAATATAGTGAAAGAAGATGATCTGCTCAGATTGGAAGGTGCAGAAGACCTGCCTCCTCAAAGTAGAGTTGATCAAGATGATGACAATGGAGTAAAGCCTTCCGGACCTTCATTAGCTGATGGAGCACAAATAAAATGAAAAGAAACAGCTGTAAACATCCATTAATAATCAGAACATGGAATGTATGAAGTGTGAATCTAGAAAAATTGAAAACTGTCAAAAAGAAATTAGAATGCATAAACATCGATAGCATGAAATGAAAAGGTACTGAACACTTCAAGTCTGAAAATCACATAGTTTACAATACCATAAATGCCAGGAATGGCAAAATGAAAATAAATTGCATTCTATTCATTATCTAAAAGAACATTTCAAGATTTATCTTGAAGTACAATGCTGGCTATGCTAGGATAATATCTATATACCTACAAGGAAGTCCAGTTAATACACTAGTATTCAAATTTACACAACAACCACAAAAGCCAATGATGATGAAATTGAAGAATTCTACCAGCTTCTTCAGTCTGAACTTGATCAAACATGCAATCAAGCTGCATTGATAATTACTAGTAACAGGGATGCAAAGGAAGGATCAGTAGTTGAAAATATGACCTTGGTGATAGAAGTGATTCTGGAGATAGATTTTTGCAAGACCAATGGCCTCTTCATTGCAAATATCTTTTTCAAGCAATATGAAAGAGGACTATACACAAGGATCTAACCAGATGGAATACATAGAAATCAAATTGACTATATCTGTGGAAAGAGATGGTGGAAAAGCATCAGTCAAAACAAGGTCAGATTGGAATACCTAAAATGGGGCTATAACTTGCTCAGTGAAGGAGCCTTCCTGCAGAGCCTATGCATTGCATAAGACCATAGGTGGAATCTTGAACCCCATCCAGAATCTTCTGGGGTGGGAAATCTCCACTTGAAAGGACATGCAAACCAGCCTGGAGTCGCTAGAAGAACAGAAGGTACTTCTTGAAAGAAAAACCGACAGGAAAAAGCCAAAACAATAATGGCAGTCTGACTACTACAAGAACAAGCAAGTAGCTCGTCCAGGAGCCATCAAGGCAAGTGGTTGCATCCCCTCAGGGCAAACCTCCTTCCAAGACTAAGATTCAAGGGGAATACATGAGCAGGCATGCAGTCTGACTGATGACCACGTTGGTCACGGATAAGGGGAAGTGAGGGAAAAAGAGCAATGAAGTTGTGAGCTAAATCTGACCACATTCGATAGACTCCTGTGAACCCAGGTGGAGACCTGGTTGGCCAGAAGTATGACAAGTATGGGGACTCCTGGGCCCAGAGATGGTGACATAGTCACAGAGGGCTAGAGTGGACAATGAAGTGTTCAGCTGATAAGAAGTGAGGGAATATGCACAAGAACACCCACACTTGCAGATAATACCCACTTCACCTGGCTTCAAAGGCCAGATGATCAGAACTTGACTAGAAGAAGAAAGAAGAGGGAAAAAAGTAATCTGATAAAATTTGATGAACTTGACCTATACCTATGGATTCAGTAGCTCAAAAGAGGGAACAAATCTTTACAGCAAATATCATTCCCACCAACTCCATACACAAGGTAGACAGGGATGGTCAACTTGGACATTGGCTATCCAAAATGGGGGTGGCTACAAAGGCAAGAAGTGACTGGCTTACAAGCTTTGAAGAGGAAGCCTAGATCCAGAGGGCACCGAGGAAGGTAGACTCTCCATTGAGTAGTACCCAATCTGTCTGGGCAGAGCTGATAAAAGGAGATGGGGATAAGACTCTAGTGGTTCAATAGTGAATAATTGCTGTCAGGACTGACCGTAAGGGTTGGAAATGTAAAGGTAGCCATTGTGTAGCAAAAGGAGGGGAGTGGTTGACTTTGCAGTCCAGGAGCAGAAGCCCCTGGGACCATCAAGTGAGAAAAG